TGAGCACAATAAAGTGTTCTAGAATACTCATTCTCCACAATATTGTCCGTAGTTTATTATGATACAGGTAAATATCTTTCTGGTATTCTCTGCTTTTAGCCAAGATTCATCAGACATCAGCAGGAATATCCCTCATTCCACACCCTCTTCCTAATACAACTTGAACCTCTGGTGGTTCCCTGTCAATCTACTATTACAGCCACTTTTAAATTATCTTGAGAAAGCTATTAAACATTACTTGATTTTACAGATCATTTCCTATTTTTCCTGACCTTAAATCAAGTTATAAGTTGTTATCTTGACTTCTGTATAAATGAGGGAGTTTCAAAAAGTTCCTGGAAAAATTCCATTATTTTTTCACAAGCTTCAAACAACTTCGCATTATCAAAGTTAGGATATATATATAACATTCAATTTAGGCAAGAAAAATATATAGAAAATACAGGGGTTAGTCAAAAATTGTTACAAAATCATAGCAGTCTTTATTAAATAAAGTTACCAAAATCTGAAGCTATTATTTCTTGCCATATCTTCTATCTATTTTTATACACTTCTGAAGGTTGTGTTTCCATCTCTAGCCCTTTTTTGAATTACACCATATCTAAACAACATCTTTGGCATCCTCCAGAGAATCAAGTCATGTTCCCTTTAAATGTTCTTTGGGTTTGGGGAACAAAAAGAAACATGAAGTACAAAGATTAGGGCTATAGGATATAGGGTAAAGTTTCCAAGTGAAACTCTCTTGGATAGCCTTGCCATTCTTTGTGAATGAGCAGGTACATTGTCAAGATGGAAAAGAAATCCTTGGCACAACTTTCTTGACCTTTTCCTCACCAATGCTATTTTTAAATTTCTAAAAACTTCATATAAGCTGCTGTGATTATTCTGTGTCCTTTGAGAAAACCTATCAAAATTACTCCTTTGGGATCTAAAAACACAGTTACCATAACCTTTTGAGCTGCCCTCTCTGCCTTGAATTGAACTGGCTCTACAGATCTCCTTGGAAGGCCATTGGACTTGAAGGCCATGAAGATTTTAAAAACCTCAGAATTCCTATACAGGGTCGCTATGAGTTGGAACCGAGTCAACAGCACTTAACAACAAGAGAGCCTTAGTAGTAATACTTTGTTGTTGTTATGTGCCATGGAGTCAGTTCC